GAGGTAAACATGTAAACACAAATCCATACTTTTTGATCACAGCTGTTTATCCATTGTGCGAAATCTGGAGGGGGGGGGGGATATTTTAAGTTGATTTTGTTTCATATTTTATTTTACTTCTTTGACACATGTTAATAAAGTTGTTGTTCTCGTTGCTGTCATAACTGTCATTATTCTCATTATTGTTTTTTGTCATAATCGTTATTGTTATCGTTATTATTGTTATTATGATTGATACTATTATCCTTTTTATCATTATCATTATAATTATTATAACTATTATCATCATTATCACTGTTATTGCTATTAATATCATAATCGGTATCGTTAGTAATAGTATTATCAATTACGATCATCAATAACAATATTTGTATTAGTATTATAATATACATTATTTTCATTATTTGTCTTTCGATCATTATGATTAAACTCATTATCATTATCATCATTTCAGAACCATTGTTATTATTGTTGTCATACTTAGTATTATTTTATTGTTATTATTATTGTTATTATTATTATTATCATCATCATCATCATCATTATTATCATTATTATTATCATTATTATCATTAATTATTATTATTATTATTATTTATTATTATTATTATTATTATTATTACCATTATTATTTTTATTATCATTATTATTACTATTATTACAAATGTTATTGTTATTATGATTATCATTGTTATTATTACTATTATTATCATTATTACTATTACTACTACTATTATTATCATTATTATTATTATAATCATTATAAACATTGATATAATCATTATTATTAAAATTCTTGTTTTTTTCAATTATCATCATTAATTTTAATGTTATTATTATTAGTAGTAGTAGTATTGCTGTTATTATTATCATTCCTATTTTCATTTATTATTATCATTACTTATCAGCATTATTATCATCATTACTATTTTTATCATTACCACTATTATTTTTACTTTTATTTTTTCATTGCCATTATCATCATCATTATTTTTCCTGTGTTTATCAGTATTTTTACTGTTATCATTGATTTTTTTATCATCATTATCATTAACGTTATCATTATTTTTTGTCATTATTCTTATCATCCTTATTATCGTTTTCTTCTTATCATTATTTCTATTATTGTGATCGTTATGTTTATTATTAGTATTATCACAGTGATTATTATTAGTAGCATTATTAATATTGTTATCATTATTATTATTATTATCATTATTATCATTATTATCATTATTATTATTATTATTTCTGTCATCATCTTCTACATATTATTATTATCATTATTAATATTATAATCATTATTAATAATAATAATATTATTATTATCATTATCATTATTATTATTATCATTATTATTATTATCATTACATTATTATTAAAGGTATTATTATTGTTATGAAAGTGATTATCATTATTATTATCAGTATTATTATCATCATCATTATCATTAATGCTGTAATTAATATTACTGTTATAATTGACATTGCTGTTTGCTTTATCGTTTTTATTATCATTACTATTAGTATTATCATCGTCATTATCACTACCAGTATCATTATCATACTACTATCATTATCATTACTATCATAATTGTTATTGTTTTCATTAGTACAAGTAGTAGAAGTAGTAGTTACAGTTGTAGTATTAGTCGCAGTCGTAGTTGCAGAAGTATTAGTAACATCTTTACTACTATCATGATCATCATTATTCTCCTTCTTATCATCCTTATTACTATTTCCATGATTATCACCATTATTACTAACCGACAGCCGGTCACCATTTCCTCAACCCTAACAGTCGGTCACAGAACACCGACGCGATCTGTAACATCTCGTGCCAGTCATAAACAGTCACGAACAGTCATAGGTAAATCAAGAGAAAGAAAAAAAAGTCGAGCATCGTGGAATAAGGTCAGATCTAGTCACATAGTTTCGGATTCGCTCAAGAGGGGGATCCAGGTAACCAAAGACCTTCATGACCTTATACTTTCAAAGACTTTATACCAATGACACATTCTCGATCCC